CACCCCGGAGCTGAGCGGGAGCGAGGTGCGCGCCCGGCCGCAGAGCCAGCGGCGGCGGGTGGCTCTGCTTTGCGCTTGCCGTTTGGAAGGATTTTGCGGCAGCAGGCGCCGTTCAGCGCCCTGGGCCTGCACATACTGCGGTGTTGACTCCCCTCTGCCTTCCCTTCTCCAGGGCCTTGTTCTGGGGGCCTACTCGGGCGGGAAGGATGGAGGCGCGTCCCAGCTCACCAGCGCCGGAGATGCTTTCGACGGGCTCGTGTCCGGGAGGCTGAGGGAGCTGCTGGCGCTGTGAGTGCTTCGCCGGGTGCCCGCAGACACCGTTCCCAAGGAGGCTGAATCCTTGCTTGTTGTCAGTGCCTGTGTCCTTGCTGCTCCATCTGCCAGGCCAAGCAGTTTAGAGGGAAGACTCCTGTTGGAAAAACTGTGCACACAGACAAGGGATGCAAAATATTTTGGGAGAGTGTCATTTTCTGTGAAGCAGCACTGAGCCAAGTGTCCTAGTACCATGTAACTCCATGCTTATGGAATGAACTTCCTGTAAAACTTATTCCCATAAGTGATTTCCACTTGTTGAAAGACCCTTTTTGTGTTCTAGGTCCGGGCCACCTTTGAAGAAGGGCAAAGCACGCCTATTTCATGGTTTGCATCAGGTATGAACCTTGAGTTTTTAGGTGATTATCTGTTAATGCAGGAGACTTTTTGTCACATCCTGTTTTATGCTGAGTTCAGAGTTGTGCTAGCATGAGTAAGACAGCTCTGCCCTTCTCCCCAGCCAAAAATGTGGTCTGTAGTGAAATGCTTTCCCTGTGCTCTCCACATTTGCATGGTTTTTTTTTTTTTTTTTTTTTTTGCCCAGCCCAGTGCTCCCTTCACTTTACTGCAAGTTCTTGTACAGAAACATGCTTTACATGGAGAGTGCAGTATTCAGTGCTATATTTGGTTTGATTTGAAAAGTAAGGTCTTCATAACCACTCTGCTGCTGTGACAGTGAGGAAAGTGAAGCTCTTTGTGTGTTGGCTTCTGTAGGACTTCCCGAGCGTGGTTGTGGTTGGCTTGGGCAAGAAGAATGCTGGAGTAAATGACCAAGAAAACTGGAATGAAGACAAGGAAAACATCCGTGCAGCTGTGGCAGGTTAACCTTTTTCTTTCATTTTTTTCCAGTTTATGTATTTTGTCTATGCAGCTTGTCAGGATGTGGCATGTTCCTTTTTTGTCCAGTGAGTTTGGATATGTTTTATTTTGAAATGCAAAACTCACGGCATGGCCTGGGAAATCCAGTCACTTGCCGCTGACATTCATGAAGCTTTTCCTTAGTGTGGAAAGAGTTATAGGGCACCCATTTTACAAGAATGCATCCTTCATTGAAATCTGTTCTTTATAATTGTGAGGATGCCAGGCCAAATGTAAATCAGTCTACTCAGGTAATTCTGGTTATTTATAACCAGTAGCTTTTTTTAAACAGCGATGTTTGAGACATTTGTTTTGTTAATTAATACTATTTTGAAGGTTGAGAGCATTGGTGTTATGCTCTCACTGTACTTAACTATGCACATATGTTTACTTCTGTGACTCTGGTCTGTAGCTGTTTGTGTTACAAACTGCACTATCTTTCACAATGTAAGTAGTGTGATTCCCTATCAGGAAGACTCAGAAAGGCCTTTCTTTGTGTTACTGAAACTGGGACTCGTGAGCACGAAGATGCAGCTATGGGTGCTCCATAACTTGGTAAATATTTTCAGGCATTTCAATTTGCAAACATATCACATAAACCCATCTTATTCTCCTTCCAAGCAAGTCAGTTATTTTTAATACTTCACTGCCTGGAAGCTCTCTGTTTTAATCACGGGTAAGTGCTGCATCATGTCTAAGTTTGCATAAACCAAGAATAGAGAGAGTCCTTGCCATCGAGCTTATAATGTGACTATGAGACAGGACGGGTCAGTCGCACATACATGAAAGCTGTGTGTTTAAGCTGACTTGCCCCCAAACCTCTGTTAAAACACTTTGGGTGCAAACTAAAATTAATAGAATATTTTATTAATATTGCCTACAGTTTATAAAAGCAGATATAATATAACTTGGAAGAAAAGATAGCAAAAGCTGTATTTCTGCAGACTTTTGATGACTGTAAATACTCATAACCCATCATGCTCTAGAATGGTAGTTTTTTTTGTTAGGAGATTATCTTAAGGAATCATAAAAACTGGATTTTTCTTTGCATTCCTAAAAACCTGCTGAATGACTTAATGAGTAAAAAGGAAGTGGGTGTCAAAATTTGTCAATATATGGCCATTAGCAGTTTTAACTGTTCTGCTGCATGCTCTTTTTAGTTTTTTTACTTGTAAACATGGCTACCTTGAATAAAACTAGTCCCCCACCGCCATCCCTAAGTGTTAGGTTGGTCACCTCAGAAGCCTGTTTTGCTGTTCTGTGCAGTATTTCTTCCATACAGTAGTTAATTAGTGCCTTACTGTATTTTCCAGTTGGATGTAGACAGATCCAGGATCTGGAGATCCCCCGTGTTGAAGTGGACCCGTGTGGAGATGCTCAGGCAGCTGCAGAAGGGGCTGTACTTGGGTTGCACGAGTACAACGAGCTGAAGCAGAAAAAGAAAACTGTAGTTACTCCTCAGCTGCATGGAAGGTGATGGCAAAAGGAAAGCTTACATTCTTATTTGTAAAACTGTGTGTGTTTGTGTGCATGAGATGGATAAGAGACACTGAAAGAATAGGTGTATCAGCAATGTCTGTCTCTCTCTGTTTCTACTGCTTCCTTGAATATCCTGAAATATTTTGCATGTCAGATTTTCAGTGTTTGCTCTGTGCACCTTGTTAGCATGCCATGTTCTGAGGATAAGGGTAAATAAGTGCCACTTTCTTGAGAAGGCCCAAGATAAAAGTAAGAAATTGCTTGAAATGAGCTGTACTGTAGAGTGAATCTTACTGATAGTTCACCCTAAGGTTGTGATGGAGAGGTATTTCAAACTCCATAAATCCTTCTGATATAAAGGAAGTGCTACTTGGGACTGGATCATGTAATGATGATATATTTTACATAGTTCACTTCCACTGTATTTTGTAAATTGGAAATATAACAAGAGCAGCACTGGTGCTTGGTTGGGTGCTTCTGGCCTCTAAGGGGTCTTCACTGTTATTCAAGAGCTAAAAGTGATACCAGAGCTCTTGGTTCCAGAACCAAATTTTATTAGCCCCCTTTCTACCGCCTCATCTATTGTGAAGAGCCCAGCCATTTCCCATATGTAGGAAATAAAAACCTCTTGATTTAAGTATGTCCTCAAAGTATGTGCAACACTTCTCCCTTTCCTAGCAGGAGCTAATTTGGGAGCTGATCACATTTGTACTAAATAAACATTTTGTCAGGACATGGCTAATCCTCTGACTAGACGATGGAAGTAATTTCTTCTCTGGACTCTCTCTTTTATCAGTATCTCTCTTGTACTGAGGAACCAAGAACTAGACAAAATTGTATGCGGATGCAGCCTCACAAATAGCAAATAGAGGGAATGATTATTTCTGTGCGAGTGCTGGCTGTCTAATGCAGCCCGATGCGTACGTGGTTAGTCTTCATCACTGCACCAGCGTGCTGCTTACTCACATGCAGCTTGTTCTCCAGCACCTACTTTTCTGCAGAGTTACTTTCCTGCCAGTCAGTGCTCAGGTGGACTATTGCATGGGGTTATTCTGCTCCAGGGCTTTGCATCAGGCATGAATTTCATGCAGTTTTCCTGAG